GCAACAAATGGGACGAAAGATATGACAGTCTGCCACTCCACTCCTTTTTCTGCCGCTGATGCTGGGGGTGTTGGCCTTTTTGTAGTTGTTAGCTCCGACGATCTGTGGGTTTACCCGGTTGCGCGTTCTCGTGCCGTTCTAGATGGATCTGTCCGAGCTTCCGGTGTCCAACCTGCGGCGGCTTTCGGGAAGCCCGGGCCCGGGAATTTGAGGGCTGGATGCCGCGCAGGTGCGCGGCAGTCGGCAGAACTTCGGACGTTCGGCAGTGCAATGAGAAAGTGTGGCTGGACTTTACTCGAGCCTCTCTTCGCACACTTCCACTCCGCTTTTGCGGAGGGGGCTGACACTGGCTAGTCCCAGAATAAGGGTCTCTGTCTTGCATGGCAATACGCACGCATTCTTTTCGGGCACAAGCAATGACTAAGACACTGGTTGAAAGACGATGCATTGGGTTTTGCTTTCGAGGAACCACACTTTCCAACTTTTGACTCTCCGTTTGCGTTGATTGCCTTGATTTGGTTGTTGTTCTTGTCGCCGATCCAGACGTCGCCAGTGCCCCTGTTTTGGACGCGGGCAACCAACTTCCAGGTTTGTCTTGCTGTCCGCCTTTTCTGATGGAAAGGTTTGCTTCCGAGCTGCAGCGAGAATTGCCCAAACCAAATTCTGGGCCCACCCCAAGTCTGCCACAGAATCCCAAGTTTGCCACAGAATGTACGTAGTGCCCGTAGTGCAGTCAAGTGTCGCGGGCCACCTCCGATTTCCCCATGTCTTTTTTGGGCAAAGAGTTGCGCCTTGCCAATCACTAATCGCTGGGCCATCGCATGGATTCGGAAGCCACCAGGGCCATCTGGCAGAGATCGCCCAGAAGTGTCAGCACGGACGCCCGGAAGTGACGATGAGCCCAGGGGTTTGAATGGGGAGCCAAGGGACAGCCACTCCCAGCTCTTCTGGTCCTTTTTTGCTGCGGGGATTTCTCGTGAGGGCCTGCAACAACTATAGGAGCTACTTGAATCCCTAAGTATGGCACATAGGGAACAAAGGAAAGCTTGTAGCTTATTCATTTGCCACTCAAGCAGGATTCAAACAGAACGGCGGTTTTGTCCTCTGAAGTGGCAGGTCAAGCCCTTTCACTGGCACCCGTTTTTCGTTCCCTAAGTGAGCAGACCCTGCTCGGGAAAGTCATGACTAATTGGTATACAGCCCAAAACGAGGGCTTTACACCACGCACTCTTCAATTTATGGGTTTGCTTTTTGTTTGAGTGCGAACTTCTTCATTCTTGTTTCTTTATTCAATGGGCTGGCAATGGGCATGTCTAAAGAGAACACGTTGACTCTGGCCCGCAGGCCAGGCCAAGCTGGGCGGGTTTCGTTTTGGAACTGTAGGCAGAGGGTAAAATGGGAAGCCACTCCACCACCAATCAAACCAATTCGTTGGAAGAGTGCCGGAAGCTTCTCCAAGACAGGAGCAAGCCACTTGCGGGGTGGGCGACCCAACGAGTCGCTGTGCCGGCAAATTGATTTTGTCGACATGTTGATGAGTCGCGATTCAGCGATTCCGCGATGGCAAAGAAGATAGACAAAAAATTGGGATTTGAGCCGTTCGGCACAAGGCGGACGGAATCATGTTTGCGTGATTCTTCCACATTGGTGTTTTGCAAGAGGTTCTGCTCTGTTGTTGGTAAGTGAGAGTGAGGCCCATGTACTTACATGACCATTGTAGAACCAGAAGTCAGCACCATTTTGGGCAAAAGACGATGTTTGTTCCTCCTTCGGCTTAAAGATGAGCCAACAGTTCTTCCACCTGCAAATACTAGTCTTTGACTGACGAGGACGTAGTTAAAGGGCAAACCCTGGACAATAACTGTTGTCCTCAAACGGAAGGGACCTGCGCCGAGGTCCCCTTCCGTTGAACGGCTTTCCAACCCAAAATCCTTGGCACCAGCCCATGGTTCAACTGAAAATGGGCCAGAGGAAGCACACAGGAACCCACAAGGAAACCAGCCATGTGGATGGTCTCCCCATGTCCGGACCCATTCACCATCCTTCGCGGGCCGACATGTCGTTTCCATGGGACCACTTGGGCTTGGTTTTGGAAGGAAAAATAAGGAGTGACCAACAGTTCAGGGTACTTTGAGACAAGCCCAAATACCCTTGAAGCATCCACCTGGTAGTTTACCTTGTTGACGCCCGGAGCTGTGCAACCATTAAGCACTCTTTTGGTTCGTGTTTGAAAGGAACACTCTTCAGTTCTCGGGTTGATACTCATTTTCTCTACTTTTCACATCCGTATTTCCCGGGGTGGAATGTCCCTTTTTTCGAGACAGATCCCTCAAAACAAAAAGGCGGGGCCAGACTCTGTTCGAAGGGACTGGTCTTTTCTTCAACTTGGCGCCCCTTTCTTGTAATTTTTTAACTGGAAGCCCAAAAGGAAGCCCAGCCCATTGTTGGGGTCCAACCTTGTCCCTTGGGTTTCCAGCGTGAAAGGCCCGGACCCCTCGGCCCCTCGGCCCATCAGCGTTCGATTTCTCCGAAGCTGAGGGTGCACTTAGAGCTGGGTCAGGAGGTGTCGAGCCTGCAGCAGGCGAGGTGTCGACTGCTTTTTTCCCGCACTGTCTCCCATTGTCCCGCAACAGGTACAAGCTCCAAACCGGGGCAAGGGCCGTTTTTTGTTTTTTTTTCTCGCTGGTTTCCCGGAAAAAATGAAGCGAAGCAGGCAAACTGGGGCGGGGGCACCCAAAACACCAGCATCCAGGGCGGTCTAAGAGATGAATTTGACCCCCTTACCCAGAAAGGCTCAATCCGCAGCCTTCGATCAACTTCCGAAGTCCTTCTGAAGCTTGATCCGCAAATCGAGAGGTGACGCTGCGGGGCGGTATCGCGGCTAATGCGGTGGCAGCTTACTTCCTGCAGGACTGCATCGTTTTTGTTGATCAGTTGAATGGGGGTGGTTCGGATGCTTTTGGAAGGACAAAACCAAGCCCGCCATTTTCAGGTTGCCGCGATTCAAGGGGACGCCCACTGGCCGTAGCCAGTGAGACGCCAGATGGTTGGCTTCCTTTTGAAGAGAATGTATACCAACCGCCACTCCCGATTGGTTGCCAGAGAACTCCTCCCAAACATGAGCCCGAACGTGGCTCTCCGCGAGAAGCACGTTTTTCGTCATTCTCCTCTCAACCAAGGAACACCCATAGAGAATTGGAACACCCAGCCCGTGTTCCGCGAGGCGAAAGTATTTGGGTCGTTTTGATTGGGCAAGCCTCGGGTCATTTCAAGGGTCCGAAAGGTTGCGGAGTCGCGCACGACTTGTACCCCAGTACACGTTCTCAGTTGTTGGGCAAATCTTTTCACCAACACCACAGCCCCCTGCGCAACATTTTGGACCTAGGTACCTCTTTGGGTTGCTTTCTGTTAGGTTCGATTGGGGGTTCCCCAAGGTCTTCCTTAGGAAGTTGCGGTGTTGGGGCGTATAGGTTTGCCCACTTTGAAAGTGGTTCCCTTGTTTCATCAAGTGGACGGATGTTCAGGATTGATGAAACTCAGTTGATTCAGCAGGACCCCCCCCATGAAAGAAAACACATAGAATAAGTGTATGTTAACAAATTGCGCCCTGAACATCTTCCAGGTTGAGTGAAGGCAGGCCAAATTGGGGGCTGTTTTGTTAGACGTTGTAGCAAACAAATCCCAGGGTGATTTTCGGTTGGATTGCGCCTTTCTTCGTCCTCAATGATTGAAGACCTTTTGATTGAGGACGAGTTCTGTTGATTGCTCATCCCGTTTGCTTTAGAAAGCACGTCACTGCTTTTTTCCCAGCTTGTTGTAGGCTCACACTGTTTCGGACATGTATTTGGCTCAACCTCAGGAAGTGAGCAGGGCGTGGCTTCAAAATCGACCAGACAAGGGTGCCCTTGTTTCCCTTTCGCTTGGGGTGTACTTCCCTTCCAATTTCCCCAAGCAGAAAGGTTGCTCATTTGGGATCGAGAACGCACAAAAACCGGCGCTTCCTTGCAGCCTCAGGAGCGCGCGCTCCAGCATAACGTTGGCGCGTGAGGGCAGAGTGAGACAAAAGGCATAGAGAGTGGGACTGGAAATGGGAATGGGAATCCACTAATGTTGATGGTCCTTTGAGACAAGCCCAGATACCCTTGAAACATCCTGGCGTGAGGGCAGGGTGAGGGAATGGGAATCCTCCATGGAGGGTCCATAGGCTCCCCCAAGGGGGTCTAAAGGGTGTTGCTAGGGGCGATCAGGATTCTATCCAAAAATTCAGGGTGCGAGCCATGAACCGAGAGAAATCAACTGACTCGGAAACCAAAGCAACCTCTTGGAACCTTAGGAAATGAAGTGACCATGGCGTTCTTGTGCTTTGAACAGTCTGAATGTTTGGCTGCCGCGGAAATTGTCTTCCAAACAGGTATAACGTCCAGGAACTCGGGAACATCTTAGCTGTTGAGTTGCCAAGCTTAACAACTTTTGTTGGTCGGGTTTGCTTCATTTGGCCCTGGCATACATAGATTCCCTCTCCGGCCTTTTTGCCCTTTGGAGCACCAGACGAGCTGGGCAAAGCGACCTGTGGGTCCTGCATCCCACCACTGCCTTCCAGATTGGACCGACACGCACACCTTTGCGCCAAGAGCTGACCAGTAGCCAGTGCAAACAACATGCCTTGCAGGTTCAGCATGAGCCGCTTTCGTAGATCTCATAGCGCCAGGCTTGTTTTAGATGTTCAGATGGAAGCCAACATAGCCATGGGTCAAACGCCCGGTTAGCCCCCAGTGAACATCCCGATCCAACCACTAAAATAGACTAAAATGGGTGGTGCGCCTACCCCAAAATGGGATCCCATTGGTTTTGACCCACAGCCAACACTCAGTTGTTCAGTGGCACTTTTTTTTCTTTTTTGGGTGGCTGCCCCACTAAAAATGGTCTTCCCCAAAAAGGGTTCCCTTTTTTTTTCAGGGTCACTGAACAACTGAGAACATAAAGCCAAGCATTTCAGCGCCTAAACCTGGCACGCGCCCGGTGCGTGGTGCGTCCGTTGGGGGCCCATGGCGGCTGATAGCGCCGAGGGCCATGAGGCATGGGGCGAGGCGGTGGTCATCGACCTCGGCAGCGCCTTCTGCGACTCGGATGCGGTTTGTTCAGGTCTCTTTGGTGCATTTTGCCAAGGGATGTTAGGACTTTAACTTTTTGCCAACCTTATAGGTTTTCCGTATTAAAGCACTAAAAGTTAAGCTTTTAGCAGGGGCGCGGAAGCAACCGAGGTCTGTTTCATGGCGAGAGTGTGTAGGTCCTTTGCTTGGGGCCTTTGGAAAGTGTGGGAATTTTTCAGAGAAGACCTGCAGATTGGTGTTGAGCTTTCCACACATAGGGATCAACTGTCGTCCTTGATACTGTAACACACCAAGCCTGAACTCCAGTGGGTGGCATTTCAACTTTGGATTGGAGGGGGAACCCGCGAAAAACGCCTTTCTGACCTGCTCGTTTTGAGCTTCCCGCCTCGTAGGGGTTAAGCTTGAAAGGAATCCAACCACAAGCATTCAAGAGTTCCTCTTGACTTGGTGGGTTCAACCATTTTCAGAGGCCAATGCTGGCCAGACCAAACTTTGGGGCAAGCTCAGGGGGCAGCTCGACCTCTCCCAAAGGAGGGAATGTCCCAGTTCCGAACACCCTCCCGATGGACGCTGCGCAGTCAGTTGCACAGAGTCATTTACGCACACCAAGTTGCGCAGAGGCATTTGCGTAGACCAACTTGCAAAGGCCAACTTGCATAGAGCCATTTGTACAGATTCAGTTGCACAGAGTCATTTGCATAGAGCCAGTGAGCCAATTACACAGAGCGAACTTGCACAGAGCCATTTGCACAGAGCTACTTGCACAGAGCCATCTGCATAGAGGCGAGGAGTCTGGGAATAGTCTGGGGAGATATAGTCTGGGAAAGAGTTGGGCTATGAAAGTTAAGTTTCTATAGAGAAGGTTCTTGACGAGTGTGGGAGACCTCGGCAATAAGATTCTTCTTTTTTTTTTTAAAGGCGGGGGGCTGTTGTCATCGCATAGCATTGCCACCCTCTGCAGGGATCGGCGTGGTGGATGCCCCAAAGCTGAGGACATGTTTGGCGATTTCTGCAGTTTCCGCGCGACCGGTTGCGGGGATTGCAGTGGTCGATGTCAAAAAGCTGAGGACTTTTAGCGATTTTGCAGTGTGCGGATCAACCCTCTGCGGGGATCGGCGCGATCGACGTCAAAAAATAGGACGTTTTCTACTTTTTGCGATTCCTGCGCGACCCTCCACGAGAATCGTGTGGCCGATGTCAAGAAACTGAGCGGTGCCCGGCAACCCTCTGTGGGGATTGGCGTGGTCGATGTCAAAAAATGAGTCTTCTTTACGGTTTTGCGAAACCAGATCAGCCCTCTGCGAAGATCGTGCTTGTCGAATCGCTCTCGCTGTGTTCGCGTGCGAATTTTACCCTTGGAAGTTGTCTCCCGGCTTTTTGTCATCTTGCGGTCGCGGGCTAAAATTCCCGATGGGTCCGCAGGAAAGTTTCGAATTAAAAGTGCAAATGTGTATTACACGAAATGCATTGCCGCAGCTCCGGGTAGAAATCGCAACATTTCTGTATAAGGTTACTGCACGATGCGCATTTCCGCAGAAAATCGCAACCTGCACAAACAAACTTGCACGGAGCGCTCGCAGAGAGCGACGTGCAGACTTTCACAGAGCGACTCGCGCAGAGCGCTCGCGGAAAGACACTGGCGCAGAGCAACTTGCGCAGAACAATGTCACTCAGCTGTCGCAGAGCAATTTGCACAGGCAACTTGCGCAAAGCATCTTGCACACAATGTTTTGCACAGAGAATTCTGCAGACATGCGCAGAGCAACTCGCACAGAGCGCTTGCGCAGAGCAACTTGCGCAAGGCATATTCGCAGAGCAATTACGAAGAGCAACTTGCAAGGACCTTGTGCAGACCAACTTGCACAGAGCCATCTGCACAGAGTCAGTTGCACAGAGTCACTTCCGCAGACCAAGCTGCACAGAGCCATCTTCGTAGACCAACTTGCGCATACCAACTTGCACAGAGTACGTTGCGCAGAGCCGTTCACACGGAGCGAAGTTGCACAGAGCTACTTGCACAGCGCCACCTGTACTTACACAAAGCAACTTGCACATCTGCATGAAGGTGAGTAGTCTGGGAAGGTGTAGTCTGGGTAAAGAGCTGGGGCGTTAAAGGTCAGGTTCTTGGGCTCGGCGTTAGCAGCTGTGAAAGTTAAGGTGAAGTTTGCATGGAGAACACCTAGCGTGCGTGAAAGAGCTCGGCAATAAGCTTCTTCCTTTCAGCTTGCAACCGCTCAGTGATTTGGTCCAAACGCTCCGGTATTTCGGGTGGGGCTTCCTGAGGGGCTGTCTCTGCGTTGTCGTGAGGGTTAAACGCGTTGCCCACAAATCGCTGGAAACAATGCATTGGGGCCAGTGGTCCCCTAGTTTTTCTCAGCAGTGCCTTTATTTGGGCCCAAGTTCTTTGGCCTTTCCTGGCCAAGCCACAAAGGCCAGACTTCAAGCGTGACTTTTTCAGCGTCAAAACGCGCCTTCTTGATTTGGGCGGGGGGCTTTTGGGGTAAGGCTTCCTTGTAAAAAAAGGGTTCGGTCAAGGTCCAACATTCGGACACCGTGATGGGGTACTCTTCCTTTCCACTAACATGGAACCTGGCTGAGGGGTACTGCAAGTTTTCCTTTACAAGGGAATTCCTGGAGGGTTCCACGTTAGTGTAAGGATTCCTTACGCATTGTCCGGAAGCCCAAAAGTCCATCTGGCCTCAGGCCGGGCTGGCCTGGTGCAGAGCGGATCTGACGAGCCCATGGCGAGGTTTGAGTCGATTGTCGGCACACCCAAGGCGGGCTCAGGTTTTTCAGGCGGCTTTTGGGCCTGGAGTTTGGGTTTTGACACCGCTTGACATTGCCCGACTTGGCCTTTTGACTCAAACAGCAATGCTAGCTTTCTGCTGCCGAGTCAAAGGGGAGGCCATCTTTCTAATCTATCTTGAACCACCGCCAACGTTTGCGGCATGTACCAGCGCAATTGAGCGGCTTCTTCAAAAAGTGGAGCTTAGTAGTAGGCAACAGCCTGTGGCTTTTTTTGAGAGTACTCTTTTAGGGTAGTCGCTTCAAAGGACAAGTCAAGGAACCACTCTCATTTGGGGGTCCCCTATCTCTTAAGGCATACCCATATGCCTGTGGGTCAAAACCAATGGGATCCCATTTTGGGGTAGGCGCACCACCCATTTTAGTCTATTTTAGTGGTTGGATTGGGATGTTCAGGTGCGGATATCTTGCCTTTTGTTTCCCCGTTTGTAAGCAGAGCATTTCCCCACCAACCAGCCAAGAGTTGAAGTGTCGACATAAAGACCGAATCGGCCGTTGCGTTGAAGCATTTCATTCCATGAAAGTTTCGCGTATGCAGCGACATGAAGTGTTGTTCTTCCCACTGTCCAGATGACTCCCACAAGCAGGGGCTACATGGTATTCAGTTTTGGGGATCCCTGTAGGGAATGTTGCCGCTTTCTGGCACCCTAAATTAAGTGACCAGCCTAGGGCCACTTATCCTACCAACATGGTTCGGTGCACAGACCGCTCTTGTGACACTGCATGTTTGTGTGTGTGTGTGTCTTTTTTCTAGAAAATCCATCAAAATTGTGATTTCCCTTAAAGCCACAAAAAGGGGTACCCTCAAAAAAGACATACCCGCATGGTTCTGTGCACCAAGCCATGTTGGGAGGCATATATGTGCCAGACGCCTCCCATCATGGTGGGCATGCCGCAGCCCGTCTACGTGGGTGAGAGAGCGCTGGGCCGCTGCGGGGTGCTGATTTTGCAGAAACCCGTGGTCCGCGGCCTTGTGGCGGATTGGCAGGACCGCCTTGAATTGGGCCCATGGGGGGTGTGGACAAAGTTTGCAGAGATGGCGGTGGAGTATTGAAGGTTGGACACCCTCCAAGTTGGTCAGAAGCACAGGTCATCTTTATGTTTATTTGCAGGAAAGGAGTCAGCCACATGTTCAGAGCGCGCGCGAGCTCGTTTCTTTACCGCCGGAGGCGGCGGAAAGAGTTTGGCACCACATCTACTTCAACGAGCTGAGGGTCGTCCCAGAGGAGCACCCTGTGCTCCTTACAGAGGCTCCTCTTACGCCCAAGGCGGACCGGGAGAAGGTGACCCAGATCATGCCCCGCGGACGGAAAGACGGACGCACTTGTATTACATGGCCCACTACTCTAAATTATGGATTAGCATTACACAAATCATGGAGCCGGACAATGGGCCCGCCAAAGGGCATTCCTCAGCTTGAAGGGCGAAATGGGTCCTATCATGCGGGTTCTGGCGCGCAAGATGCATCATCGGAACTACGCCGCGTTGAGGATGTTGGTCTGGTCCTGCTTGCTAGATCCGCTTTGGGGCAGCCTATTATGTTCAATCTGCAGCCCAGAGAATCAAAGCCAAGAAATAACGTAAGCGTTGGCTTCATCTCTTGGAGGACAAAGTCTTGTTTCGCGAAATGCGCTCGCCTGAGAAGGTGTGCGCATCGACTTGCTTGACCCAAGCTGAACAGACATATTGAGCTTTGCTGCTTGGTCTCAGGTTGCATTCTCAGATGTACAAACCCACCGTGGATGAGGGTTCTGGGTCATTCCCTATATGGTTCAACTGAAAGGAAACTCACCAAGCTGGAGGTCCCCTAATTTTCAGACAAAGCCACATCTGCTGAGAAGAAGTCAAGTTGTTTGACTTCTTCACTTCTTTCCCTCATGCCTTTTGCTTTTTGGCAGCCATTTCCGGCCCAGGTTCGAAACCTTTGGCGTCCAGGCATTGTATGTATCTCAGCTGGCAAGTTTCCCCTTTGGGTCACGTTGAAGGGAGAAACCAACGGCGACAACCAGTCTTTAAGAAGTCTCTCCTTGTCAAAGAAGCTACAATTGGACGGCCCTTGGGTGGTTTAAAGTGGAAAACCGCACACAAAGACGAGTTTCTTTGGGTAGTCGTTTGAAGCCACCTGAATAAGGCTAGCCCCAACACAAGAAACACACAGGCTTCACACCCAGACGAAGCACGGATATAAATGGGCCCTCGGGGCAGTTTTCCTGGCTAAGGCTGGCCTGGGTAAAAGAGAGAAGAGAGCCATTTGCTGAATCGATTCCTTTGTGTCGTTTTGGAAACCGCAACCCTTTGAAGCTATTTGGAGCGCTGCTTGCCGAGCTTGTTTGAAGTTTGAACATACTTGCTTATCTCGAGAAAATGTTCAGCTACCATGTTTTCCTCAAGTCGGTAGCAAGGGCGCCAATTTGATCAACTTGAAATGCCCACGTGCTACACCGGCGGGGGGTGCCCTGCCACGTGAGCCTGGGCTTTGCGAATCTTGGGAGCTTGAGCCTTACTGCAGGGGTCGGTTCTTGATTCGCAGAAAGACTCAAACCCGTCTTTTTTTTGTTTATATATTTTATTTTATTTTAATCATCATTATCATTGTTATCATTGTTATTATTGTTATTATTATATTATTATTATTATTATTATTATTATTATTATTATTATTATTATTATTATTATTATTATTATTACTATTATTATTATTATTACTATTACTATTATTTTTTTTTTTTATTTATTATTATTATTATTAATTATTATTATTATGATTACTATTGTTATTATTACTATTATTATTATTATCATTATTATTCTTATCATTATTATTATTATTTTAATATTTTATTATTATTATTATTATTATTATTATTATTATTATTATTATTAATAATATTATTACTATTATCAAAGTTATTGGAACAACCGTTCTCTTGTGCAGCTTGAGCCTGTTCATTATTGGAATACCTGGGCTGGGGCCCTTGCAAGCGAAAGACGATTTGCGACTCGTTCGAGGTGGCCGTACAGGCGGTGCTGACACTCTACGACTCGGGTCGTGCGACAGGCAGGGGATTCTGGTTTTGAACGAGACCAATGGCCCCTTCGGGGAAGTTCAACAGGATGTGGCAAGAACCGTTCTTTCTTGAACAAAGAGACCCTGGGTTTCTAGGGAAGCCAACAGGATGTTGTTTGAACTTAAAACAGTGGCTCAAAGCATTGGTTTCAAGCCCATGATTCAAGGGCTGGGCCTGGCTTGGGCCAGGCCTTCTTCCACCAGAAGGACCTAGTGAGGAACACCCAGGGTTGATGGTTCCAACGTGTGGGTATATGTCAAAGGGTGTTTTATTTGGCCCCCTTCCGTGGATTTCACGACACCAAGCTTTAATTGGAAGCCGCCCTCCATGCGTATGTTCTCTGTTCTTTTTTTGTCCAAGATGGTTTCAACCCGCGAGTTGGAGGAAGACTCTTCCGCGGGCTTTCGGTGTGCAAGGGGGGGTTCCACATGCTCAAGCAGCTCGGTGCTTGAACACACGCGTGGTTTTTTTCCACCTTATTTTGAGATGACTCTCAAAATAAGGTGCTGGTGCGCTAGGCAGGGAATGAGAAGTGGAATGATCCCGAGAAGAACCATCCAACAGGTGGTTTCCTCTAAGGGGAAACCAAAGCCTGGGTTCATTCCAACTCATTCCCTCCCATCGCACCACAAGATAGGTGGGTTTCCTAGTGCACCTACAACCCGCCAGGCACGGTGGTGGATCTCGGCGAGGGAGTCACCCGAGTGGTGCCCGTTTGCGACGGCTTCGCCATGCCTCATGCTACTTGATGGATCTGGGGGCGAGACGCGAAAGGTGGGGCTGGGGCGGGCTGCCGGGTTGTTGACTGTTCGGTTGGGTTGTTGACTGTTAGGTTGGGCTGTTGGCTGTTGGCTGTTTTGTTGGGCTGTTGCTTTGAGGGTAATGTTGACCCCGGATTTTCATCAACCCCAGTTTATGAATGGGGTGTCCGATTCGGAGTTTAGTGGAGAATCATCACTTTCGGAGGGGAACACCACCCTTCTTGAAGGTCGATAGGGAAACCAACCCATTTTGGGGGCTTTTCTCGATTTGAGACACATCCAGACAGTTTCCATGCAGAGTAGCAGAAGGAACCCGAAGAAACGCGATTGCTGTTAATTAAGTTGCGAAGCATGTCCATTCAATAGAAGGTGCTCAAACTACTGCCCCCAAAAGCATCTTAAATCTTTTGAAGGTGCTTGAAATACTCCAAAAAAACAACGCTTGTGGAAATTTGGCGCTGACAGATTGCCACTTTCCCGTTATGCCCTTGGAAAGTGATAACGTAATCATGGAATAGGAATCCGGCTTTGATATCACATGAATGGCAGTTTCACAACCATGCCTTTTGAGGGATTCCTTGTTGAAAACATCCTTAGGCCTTTTTCTTCGGCTTGTTCTTTTTGAGGTCATTTTCGTTTGCATACTGTATATTGGCACAATGCTTTTTAATTTCTATGTTTTTGGTTCTATTCATCTTTAGTCGGGGTCTGCAAGAAGCACACTGCTTTGCTAGGCGACTGCTGGTTCCGCCAAAAGGGCGCGGTGGAAGTTCTTGATCCTAGACTTCCATTTGCAGAAGAACATCTTTTTATCTTCCCCAGTTGGCGCTTTAGGGAATCTATAAATTTTGGAGAATTTTTTTATTTGTTTTCAGGGGTCTTAACCAAATGGATTTAGATCTTGCCCAGGCAGTGGCACAGTTGCACGTCGCCGGCCAGCACTTCACCGACTACTTGGCCTTGCTGCTGAAAGAGCGCGACGGGATCGAGTTCTCCGGCCGCGCGGAGCGCGCGATTCTGCGGGAGATCAAGGACCGTGAGCCAAAGCCAGGCTTCTGTGGGTTCAGAAGCACCTGACGTGCTCAAAACCGATTCGGGTAGAAGGTGAGTAAGGGACAACCCCCTTGCCAGAAATAGCCGCGGATATCCGCCTTTGTATTTCTTTACATGGTTCTGGGTGGGTTTTGATTGTGACTCACCTGCGCCACGAGCAAGACTTGGGTAGATGAAGTTTAGGCGGGGTTTAGGGTAGACCATGCCAGGTTTTGAATATGATTCGCCTGAGCCACAACAAAGCCCGGGAAATTGATGTTCGGAAGACATTCCCAAGCAGACATAGACGTCGCCGCCCTTGTGATTCCTGATGTGGGTTTACACCCGGAGATGAGGGGCAAACTCCGTACAGGCAGCTCGTTTAGTTTTGAGGCGGGCTTTCCCAATTCGCAAGCATCGGATTCCTGGAAAGAATGGGGCCCAAGAATAGTACAGGTATTGAAATGACATTGTGGCCAGTGCAAGTGCAGTTGACTCATTTACCATCAATTGCACCAATCGAGCACGTCACTGAAGTGAATTATGGTCTGCCACATTTTTCCGGCAATTCTGCAGCGACCTCCCGCAGAAAGCCCTCCCGTCAAGTGGGTGTTTTACAATTGGCACTCTTTTGCGGTTGGTTAGGAAAAACAGAAGGACCGCCGAAGCCATCCCGGTGGTCCAAATCTCTTTTTTTAATGATACATTAAGGTTTACGGGTGTGTCATTTTTTGGTGGTACCCCTTTTTTATGGGTGTGTTCAAAGGGAAACCAAGAGGAAAACCGAAATCCACTTTGGAGGGTCTAATTGTTGGTTCGGTTGGGGAATTACTATCATTCATGCAGATGAGTTGCATGACATTCATTTCTTCACTGCCGGAATTTCCATCCCAAGATGCCTTGGGAGGGAACTCATCCGAAATTTCTCGAAGCCCAATGCTTCAAAACCACAATTCGTATATGATTTTTGCAAAAATGGCCTTAAAGGGGGGGGCCATGGTGACGTTTCCGGCCGCCCTTGGAAACGGTCCCAAAGGGGCTACCATGGTCACAGTTTGACACATATCGATGCAAGGAGCGGTAGGCGAGGCATTCGAAAAGGTCCGCGACGGCGCAACTAGGAGACGTTGGGCTTTGTGGCGTTGGATGAGGTGTGCGTTCGCGCGCGCACGCGTTTTGTTTCTCCGATCGCGGCGCTGGCCTCTGAACGATTTTTCTGGGCACATTGCGTCTCTCGGTCATCAAGAGGGCATGCGACCTTAGGCAATGAAGTGTTTGTTCATATCATCAACTCTTCTTGTGGTGTGGCTTTTTCGAGGGTATCCGGCAAGCAACGGAGCAAACCAACCATTCTGACTTGGCGAACTTAATAAAAACGGTTAGTAACCGTGAACCACTTCGGGGGCTAAGCGAGTTGCAACCATGCGAAATGGCTTGCATGTTATTGCCATGGTTGCCCAATGACTTCCCTGACGGTTTTTTCCCCTCGCGGCCCAAGACGCGTCCACGTCCCGGGCAAAACAAGCGAGCGGCTGAGACTGACCCGCCCCGGAGGCGTCGTGTCAGAGCGCCAGTGACGAGGCTGGCTGGGGCAAAGTTGCTAGATCCAGGCCATGGTCACCTTCAAAGGGAAACCTTCATTGCGCGCGTCTGCCGCACCATCCGCACCCTGCGCACCATCCACGCCAGCCGCACCATCCGCACCATCCGCGCCATCCGCACCATCCGTACCAGCAACATCCATTCCAGGAGCCCCATGAGAAGTCGAATCGTCGGTCCAGGAACTTACTTGAAGAGGAAGAAGTACGACCGAAGCGGAAATGTGAAGCTTCGACTGCTCCTTCCAGGAAGGCAAGTGCATCATGGAGAAAAACGAGAACTGTTGATGAGTGCCATCCGCTCTATCTGCGTCGTTCGCTCCATCCGCGCTATCCGTGCTATCCACACCGAGTTGAAATGCACAAATCCCCTGCATGCTGGAATATAGGTTCAACACCCCTGAACCAAGAATGTGGCACCTCCCTCCACATGGCCCTCCCGCCTCAGGCCCTGACGTCCTTTTCAGCCTCAGGCGTCTGCCGTAAACAACCAAACGCCAGAGCGCCTCAAAACAACCTAAGCAGGCGTGTCTTTAGTTCCGTAGTGGGAGCCGATGTTTCAACATGTCTGACATGATGACTTGCAACAATGTATTATGAAGCATGGGGCTGGTTAAAGTAAAGCAAGGCGTTCCAGGTGCATGCGGGGTCCCTGCACCGACGCAGTGTCCTTTGCCATTCAAATAGCCTTTTACGCCCGGCTCACGCAGGTGTCCTGGCAGCTGAATGTTAAAGTGTTGCTCTTACCAGCTGCAGACTGGGCTGTTCAAAAAGACAAAACCTGAAATCCGAGACTCGGTTGACCCTAAAACCAAGCCAACATTTAAATTCCCACACTCAATTATATACACCACGCAAGCCAAAAAAGCATAGTGAACCTATTGCTGGCCCCATATAACAAAGCTAACACCTAATCTTGACCCTCGTTCCACTTATTTGTACTTGCGTGGTGCTCCCATGCTGTGAATTGCTGTAGCACCCATGAGTCGCATCTTTGCTAGCAAGCGGACACACAAGTGCAAGTCGTTCTTGCCTAGCACGCAGGGGCCTAAATCAGAAAAGATGTGACTGCGTGACATGGTTGCGGGTGAGCCCGGGTGTTTGGTTGACATGGTTCGCACAGGTGTTGGAAGCTGGTTGAAACAGTCGATGGCCAGCCAATCCAATCCAAGTAATCCTACCGACGTTCAGGCTTCTGGGTGGCGATGGCCGACGCAACAGCGAATCGGGAACATCGGCCAGTTGAGCAGGCGTACATTTGCAGGGCATTTGCGTTCATCAGCACTGTTGCGTCGCCGGGCTGCAGCAAAGCGACAAAGGATTGCCGCTTCGCTGCGTCCAAGTGCAGCTCTAGCACTTCAGCATCTTGCTGCCTGTGGTGGAACGCCTTTGCCTCGTTAAGTTCAGCCCTTTAGCTGTTCCATGGCATCAACAGCTGGCGTTGCAAGGAGAAGTCCATCCCAACTGTAGCGAGTGCAGAGGACACCCGTTGCAGGATGCTCCCATCACCCAACTCAACGTACGGTTTCCTGGTAGCAATGCCATGCAATCTGAGTGGGAAAAGCCGCTGAAAAAGACGAGGCCCGGTGGGAACGTGGCTTCTTCCACTGCCACGCGCGAAGGCCGGGAAAGCCGTCACTTGCTAGCTTAACATTTTCTCCCAAACTGCGAGCATGAAAACCGTCTGGTTTTGCGTGCTTGTAGTTTTGGCTCCTTTCACGGTTGGACACCATGGATCTAGCCAGTACAAAGAACACGAGAGTTGTTTGCAAGCATGCAGGTTCAGTGTTTAGGGCGACAGGATGCTATGTGAGGGCCCAACTTGCTTTGGGTGAGAACAGTGAATTTAGAAACGCAGTTTTTAGTTACGCGTGCTTGTCGGCACTGCTACACTGCTAGACGATCCGAAAACAAATGGGCATGACGCCAGGGCCTTCACTTGTGGGTGCACTCTATTGTTGGACGAGGTGACGGCTCTGCAGGAGCTGAGCCACGCCCAGGGCTGATGCCACGCTAGATGGAAGCATCAACGCGTTCCATCGTACTTTGGGTGTTTCAAATCAAGAATGTTTCTTGGTTGGTGTCGGTTTTCGCTTTCCCAACAAGGATCGGACTGGGTTTTTTCTCCCATATTGGTTTGGCTCTAGTTTTTGCCCATGTCTTTGGTCGTACGTTGCCTACGCTCTAGCCCATGGGATGGTTGAGCCTTGATGGTGGTGAACGCAGGAGGCTCAGCAGCTGATGCTCGGACTTTACCAAGTTCACTAGCGTCAGGGAGGTGCTGGCCTTTTGGCGTTCTTGGGGCTGGTTGCCATGTTCCAGCGCTGCGTCAGGCTGCCTCTGATGCATCGTGATGTGAAGCCTGCCAATTTGCGTCTTGACAAGGCCAAACTGGAGTTGGTCTAGATGTGCAGAAGGTGCCGCTGTCTGCCAGGTGGGTGGGTTCCGCTTCGTGAGTTCAGCTCATGGTTGTCATGGGCGCTGCAAAGTTCCAGGGTTCCGAGATCAAGCTGACGCGCGCCGCTGACAGGACACTTGAGTGAGCCGGGCGTAAAAGGCGATTTGAGTGGAAAAGGCCACTGCGTCGGTGCAGGGTCTGGAACGCAGGCTTTCTTTGCATAAAGCGCTTCATCATGGATTATAATGTACCATGCAGGACCATGCGTCTGCATTCTAGCAAGTCATCATGTCAGACATGTTGAACATCGGCCCCACTAAAGAATTAATAACACGCAGCCTGGGTTGTTGCAGGCGCTGAGGCGATTGGTTGTTTACGGCAGCCGGCTCAGGCTGAACAGGATGTCAGGGTCTGAGGCGTGGAGGGAGGTGCTGCATTCTTGGTTCAGGGATGCGGTGAGCGTCCAAGTTATTGAGAAGGCAGACATCGCTTGACAAAGAAATCACGATTCGGTTAGTTGCAGTTAGTACAGTTTGTCGTAATTCTTCGAGTTTTCAATCGATCACTCCACTGAACAAGTGCGAAAAGGTGGGAACAGCAACTGTCTTCTCAAAAACCAAGCCTGCTTTTCGGACTAATGCTGAGTGCTGCAGACCTAATACGTGATTGGACCTGTTCAGTGCTGCGTTGAATCTGCATCCCCGCTTTTGGTTTCGGGTTCAATAGCATGACGCTCAACGCTGGCTTCTCATTCTATAGATTTACATCCTGCCTTGTGTCGGAGTCGGGTTTGCGAGGTTTATTTTTGCCCGGGGCTGCGGTAGATTCGGGATTCTGAGACCCCTTGGCGTCGCGCGTGTTCAACATCCAAATGACACTTGTGATGCATCGTTGCCCGGGTTGACGAAACACTTGTCTCAATAGCGCCCGACAGGGTGATGTAACTTTCCGCGGGTTGCAGTAACTTAAGTAGCGCCTTGTAGTAGGGGCATTGGCATCCCCACATTAACGAACCTCTTGGTTGATTAGTAGGCTGTTGCCGAATCTTGGTGGGGTTCATCACTTTTTGGGCGAACAAGAAGCCTCAAACAGTTTATGGTAAAGCATCCCCCGTGACGCAAGACTTCTGCGTTGCGGGCGGCGTCTGCGGCTGCCGCGCCATCCGCACCGTCCGTGCCATCCGTGCCAGCCGCACCATCCGCGTCATCCACACTATCCGCGCCGCCCTCGGCGTCCGCGCCATCCGCGATATTCGCGCCATCCGCGCCATCCGCGCCATCGGAACCGTCTGCACCAACGCCATCCGCACCATCCACACCAGCCGTACCGTCCGCTCCATCTGCACCATCTGCGGCATCCACGGCCATCCGTCTGCGCCATCCGCGCTACCCGCACCATCCGCGCCATCCGCGCCAGCCGCACTATCCACGCCCGCGCCGCGCCATCTGCACCATCCGCGCCATCCGCGCCATCCGCACCATCCGCGCCACCCGCGCCCCCGCGCCATCTGCGCCATCCGCGCCGTCTCCACCCGCCACCCGCGCCACTCGCGCCACCCGGACCATCCGCAATGTAGACCTACCGAATGCTTCTGTCTTGTGACTTTGGCCAAAAGAGTTTGGTTCTTATCGGCCCCTACAATGTTGACATTCAAGGTGCTTCTTTCTTGCCTATACTGGCCCCTTTGAATTTTTGCCCCGGCGATTGCCCATGCGCGCGGTGTTTAGCAGGGATTTGTTACACACAACGGATACTTATGATTATCTAGCTTGCAAAAGTGCTGTGCTTGCCACGCAATCTTTACCTGACCCTGCGAAAGTGCAGCGCCTGCCACGAAGTTTGTACTTGACCTCGCGAAAGCTGCGCCTGCAACGACATCTGCACCTGACCTTGGGAATGTGAGAAGTTAGGTAGATTAAACAGACAGAGAGAGAGACAGAGAGATGGATAGATAAACAGATGACAAATACATACACAGAGCAGATAGAAAGAAAGAAATAAATAAATCAAGAAATCAAAGAAAGAAAGAAAGACAGACAGAAAGAAAGAAAGAAAGAAAGAAAGAAAGAAAGACAGAAAGAAAGAAAGAAAGAAAGAAAGAAAGCAGATAAGTAGATAGATAGATAGTGTGGATGGACGACAGGACAGGTAGACAGACATATGTAGACACCGGGCCACCGGGTGCCCTGGTGACCGCCTGGTTTTTTGTGCGTGTGGCAGGGTTTTGATACCCGCTGGCTCGCTACAGTTGCCTATGCTCTTGTTGACAGCCCGCAGACGGTGCAGACGGTGCGGATGGCGCAGACAGCGCAGACGGCGCAGACGGTGAAGACGGCGCAGACGGAGCAGCAGACAGCGCAGACGGCGCAGCCGCGAGTGCAGACACGCTTTCCGCCCGCACTGCTTCAATAAGGATGTGTTCGGTAGGATCGGCTTATGCGTGTTTGAACAGGTCGCTTAACGGTAAGCCCAGCAGCTGTTTAGATGTTTTTGGGCCACCGTCCAGTGATCCCCAGTCCCGTTTTTCCTGCGGTGAGGTCTACGAGCAGCCGGACGGGGTGCTGGTGAACGTGAGCAGCGAGCGCTGCCGCTGCTTCGAAGTCTTGTGGCGGCCTGGGCTTTTGGGCTCCGAGGAAGCAGGGAAAGCTTCCGAGGGGGTGATGGACGTTGGGGTTGGGATGGTTGGGTTGGAAAGAAAAGGGCTGGTGGATGAAAACTTGGAGTGTTTGATGAGCTAGGTGGAGGATATATGTAAGGAATTGTGAAGGATTTGATGATTCGAGAATGAATCATTTGGGTGGATTTGCGGATGGTTCCTGGGAACAGGGGGGTTGGGGTGTAGGGTTAGATGGGTTTGGTTTGGCCAATGAGGGCATTTGTTACCCTGGCGGTTTGGCTGAGGAACGTATCCGCTGTAAGTGCCCTGTAGACAACGGCTGCAAGGAGTCATGCCTTGGGCAGCCATGGGAAGGTTCCGGTCAAAGGTAGATAGCAAGAGCCCGTAATGGCTTTGGCTACGGCTGCAGTATATGAGGTGTGTCTCTTTGGAGGGTACAAGCTTGGAAGTTGGGTTGAACGGACACCAAAAGGAAACCGCTTATTTGTGTCCCCTGTTTTGACACAATATGATCTTCCATCAGCCCATCGATGCAAACCAAAGGCACGCACCAGCTTTCCTCACAGCCTTCGCAGACGCCGCCATCGGTTAGTTAGGTTTCTTTGTGGACCTCTTCTGAAAAAGCGCGCACAAACAGTTCTTTTTGTCACTCTGCTTGGCATGAGCCTTGTGTTACTCTGTATATGTACGCTCATATATGTATGTACGTTTGTGCTTGTTGTCGTATTTGTTTGTTGTTTGTTTCGTTTGATTTGACTTGATTTGAGTTGTTTGACTGATTGACTGGTTTGATTTCATTGGATGTTGATTTGATTTGATTTCATTGGGTTGGTTGGATTGCTTGAATTGAAAATGAATTGAATTTAATTGAATTAAATTGAGTTGAATTGAATTGATTTGATTTGATTTGACTTGACTTGACTTGACTTGGTTTGATTTGATTTGATTGATTTGATTTGATTTGATTTGATTTGATTTGATTTGATTTGATTTGATTTGATTTGATTTGATTTGATTGATTGATTGATTGATTGATTGATTGATTGATTGATTGATTGATTGATTGATTGATTGATTGAT